TTGTAGAAGCCCTGGTGAGTTCAAGGATGGAACAACCGGTCGTCTGAGAACACTTCCTGCAGCAAAGACCGATGGGCTTACAGTTTCTTGTTGATCGGTGGGATTAACCCGGATAGAGTAATTTCTACTAGAGCTCTCTGTGATGGTAGGAGTAGATTGATTTGGAACAGCACCAGATACCAAACCCCTTCGACCATGATCAAGAGATATATTTAGTTGAGTTGTTGCCATTACTGGGCTATAATCCGAAGGAGCTGAGATCCAAGAACTTGATTCTCCACGCTGGAACTCACGGAAAGCTCCGCTTGAAGAAGACTGACCAATGCTTGCATCAAGAGCTTTTCTTTTAAAACATGCACGACGCCCATCTACAGAGGAACCCACAGTAACACTGTTATCTGGGATAAGCCTAGACCTGAGTCCATTATCCTCAAAAAGACCAGGATGACCTGTGACCTGATTCATATCCTCAAGATGCTCATTATATTCTGCATTAAGATTGACATTCCGAACAGCACAATTGCCACTAGATGGTAGCAGAAACAAAGGGCTCAACTCAAGCTGGTCATTTCTATGTTCCTCTAAACGTCCAATACCCTTCCATTGTTCAGTATGACTAGTGACATCGTTCTTCGTACCACTAGAGCTAGCCTCCCCAATGTTAAACCTGTGTAAGTCGCGTTGCTCATGATAAACGGAATTTGCAGTAGTAGGATTCGTATTAGTATTTGAAATCATGAAATCCCGCAATCTATTATCATAACTGTGACTATTCTCCCAACGAATTTGCTGATCTATCACAGCATTACTAGATGTAGAACCATGCTCAAAGTTCAAAGCCTCTGATAAAGAACCGAGACTAGCCCTCTCTCCCTGCATCCTAGCGTTGTTAACACTTGACAATTCAAGAAACTCTCACCACTTTCCCCTGTAGCCAATGCTGGAAACTACAATAAAAAGGAGAAACGAAAATATCTTTCAATAACAAAGACAATTGCAGTCGCATTGAAGAACAAAAGGGGTTCTCACTCAGCCAAAGAAATTAGCAATTGAGCAATTCAAGTTACTAAAGCAAAAGCAATGTCTAATCTCAAGACCACAAAACCAACTACATTATCCAAGCCTTCTACTTAATCAATCAGATTACAAAATCCACACTTTCAACTTAACACCTAATCTCCAAAATCAAGAAACCTATTAC